TATACATAAAAATAAATAAAAAATTAAAAAAGATCTTAAAAACCAAAAGAAAGCATTTACTCTCAGCCAAAGGAGGATATGAGTTTAGATGTTATATGTGAATGGGCATATACCTTTCCCAGCATTTATTTTTTTAATATTTTTTTATTTTTATTTTATTTTATGTGTATAAGTATATTGCTTGCATGTATGTAAGTGCGCCTGTGTTGTGCAATGCCTGCATTGGATAACTTGGAACTGGAGTTATGGCTGGTTGTGAGCCACCATGTGGGTGCTGGGAATCAAACCTGGGTCCTCTGCAAGAGCAGCCAGTGCTCTAACCACTGAGCTACCTCTCCAGCCTTTGCATTCATTTTGAACTCTCAGATTTCTTCCACTAATAACCAAGTCCCATGAAAATGACAAAACTTTGTTTTGGGGGTATATGTGTGTGTGTGTATGTGTGTGTGTGTGTGTGTGTGTGTGTGTGGTGTGATGTGTGTGTGTGTGTGTGTGTGTGTGTGTGTGATATGCATGTGGGTATACCTGTATGTGCAGTGGAGTCTGGGACAGAGTGCAACATTTGTCATCTTTATCGTCTCTGCCTTATTTTTAAAATATTTATTACTTTTATTTTAGGTATATGAGTGCTTTGCCAGCATGTGTGTAAGTGCACTCATGTCATGCAAGGCCCAAGGAGGTCAGAAGAGGGCGTCTGATTCTCCTAGAACTGGAGTCAGGATGGTTGCTAGCTGTCATGTGGGTGCTGGGAATCAAACCTGGGTCCTCTGCAAGAGCAGCCAGTGTTCTTAACCACTGAGCCATCTCTCTAGCCCATCTGCCTTAGTTTTTGAGGTAGGATCTCTCACTGGACCTAGAGCTTGCAATTTGGCTACACACAGGATTTTCCTGTGCAGGGGGGCTCTCCCTCTCTTCGTGGGTCGTTGGCCACCGGCCCACGAGGGCAGGGAGAGCAGAAGCGGCGAACGGGGTCAGGATGGCCAGTGAGCGCTGATGGAAGACAGCCCTTCCCGGGAGACTGGTCCCAGGCACAGTGAAACAGCAATGATACAGCTCCAGACAGTGAAACAACTCCATTTATTCAGTGGGAGAACTAGAGAATTTGTAGTGTGGAGGCAGTAGCCAAAGCCTCAGCTGATAGGTGCTCATAGTATGCTTTATTTACCTGTGGCAGTGGGCTCCTATCTTCCAGACTATCAGGCAATGCCTGATTATCATATAAAAAAAACTGGGGGTAGTTTTTACTCCAGGTAACTATGCCAAAGGTCATGTTTTTAGATAAGGTCAGGCATCCGTGCTTGGTGGCACTTTCCAGGTGAGCCAGGAAGAGAGCAGGAGGCCCCCTGCTGAAAAGGGGAGTCCTTCCATTTGGCGCCGAGCCCCTCAGGGCTATCCGGACATGGAGAACTACAACCCTAACAGCAGGGTTCCCCGACATTCCTGTACCCACCATCCCCCTCCCAGTGCCGGGGCTACAGAGAAGTGCCCCCCACCCCAATCTCCATGCAGGTCTGTCCGTTCCTGGTGTTGCCATGGTGCTGGGGATCTGAACTCAGGACCTCCTGCCTGTGCTGTAAGCACTTTACCCACTGAGCTGTCTCCCTAGCCCCAACTAAAACTTAATAACTTGTTTTAAGAAATCATTTTCTTTACAGAACTTAAAAGTTCAGATATTAGATATTTTCATGTTAAAGAAAACTTAAAAAAATATCTTTTATTTATTCTTTGGCAATTCTTATTTTAAATTTAGTTTTACCTTAAAAAATAACTGTGTTAATGCCTCTTTATCATCTTTAGTGTGGTCTATGTTTTTATTATACAAATTATCTCCTCACCTTTTCTCCTCCAGATAAGTAGTTTAAGAATCTTTTATTACTCAGGAGCTTGGCACAGTGTCTTGGACAGAGGGAAAAGTTGGTAACTGTTGTCAATTGACTACACTTTCTGGAAGTTTCTTCCTGGATTTCTTAAGATGGGCTCCACAGAATCTGCTGTTTACCATTTCCAGTAGTGAATGTCTGAGAGAGAAAATGTTTGAAGTTGTTTTTGGGGAAGAAGCTCTAAGCTTTAAGATGGCTGCATCAACAAGAAATGTAACTAAGGACCTGGAGAGATGGCTCGGTAGTTACGAGCACTGGCTGCTCTTCCAGAGGACCCAGGTTCAGTTCCCATCACCCACATGGCAGCTAACAACCATCTGTAACTGCATTTCCAGATCTGACGCCTTCACACTACACATAAATAAAATTTTAAAAAGAAATATAATTAGTAGACACAAGCAAAGTGGACAGGTTAACAAGGGAAGAGGGAATGGTACCAGAGTGGCCGAGATGCAGTGTGGGAAGAAAGGAGGAGTTTGTGGAACAGGTGATGTTAGTTTGCGTGAGTTGGCAGCTGTTTCTGACCTTCCTTCTGCGTCCCAGTGATCTCCATGTGGGCCTTTGAATTTCCCGTGTGACTTCATGAGCTGCTTTTAATCCACGGTGACCCTCACTCTCTTTTTGTAATTGAACTAAATGGGTCTGTGTGGTGTTTACATTTCACAGTAAATCATTTTTTTCTCCTTTTTTCTTCCTTTTGTCTCAGTCAGAACTCTTATGTTCCTGATTCTTGTTTATTTTTTGGGCTATTCAAGTTTTGAATTAAAAATGTTTTAAAGATCACAGATAAAAGATAAGGCAGTTAGTCTCCTTCAGTTAAACAGATTTTACATTGGCTTAAACATGAATGAGATTAAAGCCTTAGAATGTACTATTTATGTGAATGTTTTGCATGTATGTATGTGCGTGTACCATGAGGGTGCCTAATATCCATGGAGGAAAGCCCTGGATTTCCTGGAACTAGAATGGATGGTTGTGACTCACCATGTGGGTTCTGGGAATGGAACACCGGAATCCTTTATATTGGAGAGCTGTAACTTTGTTGTTTTCTGTTTGAATGCCGCACAGAATTATTTGTACTGTATGGTATAAATGTCAGCAAAGCTTCTTCAAAAATAGCTGTAATATAATATTATGGTACAATAATGGTTGTTTTCTCTATTCCCAACCAGATTAGGAAGAAGCAGCAGGAAGTGGTGGGCTTTTTGGAAGCCAACAAAATCGACTTCAAGGAGTTAGACATAGCTGGGGATGAAGACAACAGGAAGTGGATGAGAGAGAATGTTCCTGGAGAGAAAAAACCTCAAAATGGGATTCCCTTGCCTCCCCAGATCTTCAACGAAGAGCAGTACTGTGGGGTGAGTATTCAGTCCGTGGGTAATCCTTCTGTGTGTTTACCAGAATTCCCTTCCTCCCTCCTTCCTTCCCTCCTTCCTTCCTTCCTCCTTCCTTCCTTCCTTCCTTCCTTCCTTCCTTCCTCTTTCTCTTTCTTTTTCTCTTTTCTTTCTTTCTTTCATGGGGCTTTTTGGTACTCTAACATTCCCCAATCTGATGAGGTAACCCTATAATCTTTGAAGAATCAGATAAGAGCTTCCAAATACTTTTGAT